TGGCTATTGTGGACATTGCTGCTATAAACATCGGGGTGCACGTACCCCTTCGGATCCCTACTTTTGTATCTTTGGGGTAAATACCCAGTAGTGCAATTCCTGCTACCTTCTTTCCACTCAGAGCTCATCCTCTGTCTCTCTTGGTCTGCTATCTCAACCAGAAATTTTGCTTCTATGAACAGATACTAATATGTTTACTTCTCCTCGCTTAAACTAAAAACTCATTTTATTAACAGCTCTCTGGAGAAATGGTTCCTTAAGCCAAAGAAGGGAGTCTAATTGCTGGGTGGTAGGGTAGCTCTATTTTCAACTTTTTGAGGAACCTCCATACTGTTTTCCAGAGTGGCTGCACCACCTTGCATTCCCACCAACAGTGTAAGAGGGTTCCCCTTTCTTCACATCCCCGCCAACATCTGTTTCCTGTGTTGTTAATTTTAGCCATTCTGACAGGTGTGAGGTGGTATCTCCACCATGGTTTTGATTTGTATTTCCCTGATGATGAGTGGTGTTGAGCATTTTCTTATGCACTACTAGGATTTACCCAAAGGATACAAAAATACAGATTCAGAGGGACACATGCATCCCGATGTTGATAGCAGCATTATCAACAATAGCCAAACTGTGGAGAGAGCTCAAATGTCCATTGGCTGATGAATGGATAAAGAAGATGTGGGGTGTGTGTGTGTGTGTGTGTGTGTGTGTGTAATGGAATATTACTCAGCCATCAAAAAAATGAAGTCTTGCCATATGCAACAACATGGATGGAGCTAGAGTGTATTTTGCTAAGTGAAATAAGTCAGAGAAAGACAAATACCATCTTGATCTCACTCATATCTGGAATTCAAGAAAGAAAACTGATGAACATATGGGAAGGGGAAAAAGAGAAAAAGGAGAGAGGGAAACAAGCCATAAGATGCTCTTTTTTAAAAGATTTTATTTATTTATTTGAGAGAGAGAGCACAAGTGGAGAGGAGGGGCAGAAGAAGAGGGAGAAGCAGGCTCCACGCTGATCAGGGAGCCTGATGTGGGACTCGATCACAGGACCCTAGGATCATGACCTGAGCTGAAGGCAGACACTTAACCAACTGAACCACCCCGGCACCCAAAGAGACTCTTAGCAGTAGAGAACAAACAGGGTTGATGGAGGGAGGTGGGGTGGGGGATGGACTAGCTGGGTGATGGGTATTAAGGAGGGCACTTGTTATGATGAGCACTGGGTGTTGTATGTAATGATGAATCACTGAATTCTACTCCAGAAACCAATATTGCACTATATGTTAACTACCTAAAATTTAAATTAAAAAGTCAATTAAAAATTTAAAAAATAAAGGAGAAAGTCTAAATGATGGTAAGACAGCTTGTTGATTTTGAAAGCATCTTTAAGATTGGTGGTAACAGAGAACAGAAAGATGTTTGGGAATAGTACAGGTCTTAGTTCCCCTAAAAATTTCACTGGGAGGATTTCCACCTCCTTCAGGTGCCACCTGAACATGGAGTCTGGGTTCCAGGATGACCCTGGTGGTGAATGACCTCTGACCAGTCCTACCCTGGCCGATGGGGCCCGGCCTCTGGTTCACCTGGAACTCCTAGGAGAGCTGATGGAATGCAAGGAGAGGCCCTGGGGCTCTCTTGGGAACTGCTCCCAACCTCGAGTTCATGACCATGTTCTAACTTCCAACAAATAGCATTTAAAGAATGAATACATTATCTCTAGGCTACCCACCACACAGCAAAGCTTTGATTTGCTAACATTCACCTTCTTTCCTAGATTAATGTTGTCTTCACATGATATTTACATTTTTTGCTTTCTTCATCTCTCTGATGCACATTTACCACCTCATCCCCCCACACCCACCTCCCCTCTGGTAACCATCAGTTTGTTCTCTATAGTTAAGAGTCTGTTTCTTGCTTTATCTCTTTTTGCCCCCTTTGTTTTGTTTCTTAAATTGCACATATGAGTGAAATCATATTGTACTTGTCTTTCTGTGACTGCCTTATTTCGCTTAACGTTATACTCTCTAGATCCATCCATGTTGTTGCAAATGGCAAGATTTCATTTTTTATGGCTGAATAATATTCCTGTGTGTGTGTGTGTGTGTGTGTGTGTGTAGATAGATAGACGAACAGACAGATAGATATCTTCTTTATCCGTTCATCTGTTGATGGACACTTGGGCTGCTTGCATATCTTGGCTATTGTAAATAATGCTGCAATAAACTTGGAGGTGCATGTATCCCTTCAAATTAGTGTTTTCGTATTCTTAGGGCAAATGCACTATAGTGCAATTACTGGATCATAGGGTCTTTCTAATTTCTTGAGGAACCTCCATACTGTCTTCTACAGTGGCTGCACCAATTTGCATTCCCACCAACTGTGCACGAGGGTTCCTTTTTCTCCACATCCTCACCAGTATTTGTTGTTTCTTGTGGTTTTGATTTTAGCCATTCTGACAGGAGTGAGGTGATATCTCATTGTGGTTTTCATTTGCATTTCCCTGAGGATGAATGATGTTGAGCATCTTTTCATGTGTCTGTTGGCCATCTGGATGTCTTCTTTGGAAAAATATCTGCTCATGTCTTCTGCCTATTTTCAAATTGGATTATTTGGTTTTTTGGTGTTGAGTTGTATAACTTCTTTATATATTTGGATACTAACTCTTTATCAGATTTGTCATTTGCAAATATCTTCCCCAATTCAGTAGGCTTTTAGTTTTGTTGGTTGTTTCCTTTGCTGTGCAGAAACTTTTTATTTTGATGTAGTCCCACTACTTTATTTTTGTTT